CCACATTACAGCTGAGGCAAGTGAGGCTGAGAGAAGTTAATCCATGGGTTGGTTCAGAAAAGTGGTAGAGCCAGGAATGGAACCTGAAGCTAAGATGGTCTTAACCTGCCAAGGAGAGGCTGGCAGGATTAGGGTTTGTGCAGTAGGATCCGAGTGGGCTCTGTCCTTTGCAGGCTCAGAATCCTTGTCTGCAGGCTGCACGACCCACCTCAGCTGCTTCACTCCTGGTGCCCTGCGGAAGCTGCATGCTGCACGGGGAAGGCATGTGCTGAGTCCAGAAAGCCTTAAAGAAGATGGGGTCATGATGAAAGGTATGAAGAGAAGGGGTCAAGGCAGTGCTTTACAGCTGAAATGCCTCATAAGACCAGCTTATGGGAGCCTGCTTCTAAATGATCAATTCCAATCTCATTATGACCACAGCTGCCATTAACTCAGGAGCTAATTGCTATTAGCTTACAGAAACTCAGGAGGGTTTAGCTGCAAAAATTCCATGACACGGAGCCATCTCACTGCTTAAATGGCCACATTCCTGTTATTAATTCCATTTGACTATTAGCTTATTACTGTTAAGTTATTATAACTTTGTATAAAGTCCTTGAACCGGATGCATGTCCTCCACGTGCATTTCATTACGGGGAGCAGAGTGCACCCAGAGGTTCAATATTTTAATTTTCACTTTTCTTTAAGGTATAGGCTTATTAAAAAGCATCAGGAAGGTTCTTGATTTGCAAGACGACTCTGTAAGCAAGGCCCTAACAAAAACCAGACTTTGCTCAGCATTTCGATGCAATTAAGGTCTTGGCAAGTGTACAGTGAGTCTGAGCAACCACAAAGCTTAACACTGGAAGGGCCCTCGGAGACTCCAGTTCATTCTTGTGTTATAGTTGGGGACACTGAGGATAGTAGAGGAGGCAGGACTTAGGTAAGCATATGATATGTCAGCATCAGGCAGATGGCATTATCTGCAACAGCTAGGTCTCTGTTTTAGATAAATTAAAAGTCTGCTGAAGATCCCAAGTATGCAAGATTCTGCTAGACAATTAGAGCAGGGTCCCCGATCTTCTCTGCAGAAAATACCTATGTGCTAAGAAACCAGCCAAGATGCAATCAGTCACTCCTTTTCAGTACAGAGCCAGCTGGATGGAGAGTTACACAACCGCGTACAAAATTAGACATATTTAACGGGTGACGACAAGGTTCTCTCTGTCTACGTTCAGAAGCCTCCCTTAACGAGATCCAGTCAGTTTGTTAAGAAACTAGGAGAGTGTGCAATTACCAAG